AAAAGAATGTATTTGCATGCAGACCCCCTCCCTGAAAAAATCACTCTTCAGTCTTCATAAAACACATAATTAGTTGTGTGCTTCTATGAGATTAATGGTAGAAAAATGCATCACCAAGAAGACAGTGCTTAAACTGTGATAGCATTCTTATCTTTACTAAATGTTATAATAAGGACAAGAAGATAATCGAGTAGTCAATAGAGCAGCCAAAAAACTAGAGTATGGCTATTTACGAATTCAATTGCTCAATCTGTTGTCTACCTTTGAGGTTCAATTTCAAAATTATTGACCTTAAAGAAGCATCACAAACCTACTTTTTGAAGCTAAGATAATTGAGTTCTTCCTCCAATGATAGGTCAGTAAAACATGTCAAAAGAGTGTGCCCAAATTGAGCATTGATACCAACCAATCCAGTCTGGTTTCAATACATTAAACTGATATATGCAGGATCATGTTTCCTTGACACATTAATCATTACTTGATTTTGCTAACAAGGTAGAAAAAAATAAGAAGAAAATACTAGTAATTGGTTTCCAGTTTCAAATAGAAAAGGGAAAGCACATACCAAAGTTAAAGCAGATATGCCATCTAAAGGTACCACGAAAGTTGTCCAGGAAAGCCCAATGTTGCCTATTCATGAGAACCACCGCCGTAAGACAGTTCAGTAGCTAAATATACCTTCACTGGATTAAAATGACTATTTTAAATCCTATGGAACTTGAAAGTGAACAATGCTACTCACCCAAAACTGGAGAATTGATATCCTCCATATACACGATTACAGACCAGAAATGATAAATTGAAAGTCCAAAGCAAGTACGAGAAATATTTTGTCCTGCCAAATATCTGCAAAAGTGAATATCTGGTAAACAAGAACTGTATCAGAAGACTCATGTTAAGCTCAATGCCTTTTTGAAGAGTGCACCATCAAAGCATGAATACCAATTATGAAAAACTCTGTATGTTATATCATAATATGAATAGTAAACAACATCAACTAAAATGAAAATACTCTTTCAAAAGAAAGTAAGACATTTTCGTGTGTTCCTTCATAAAAGAATTATTGACATAGAGAGCTAAAGTGAAGAAGTAAACATCATTTATGCAAAAGTGACTTCCTACGTTCCTAAGAAAGAGAATTAAAAGTGCAAACATTTGAGTTACTTTAACTAGCAGAAAATTCAAAATTTCTACAGAAAATAAAATCCATAATGCAATGTTTTAAATCCCAGCAAAATAAAGCACTGGTTCAAAAATAAATATTTGAAATGGCATAGCTCCAGCAATACATAATTATCATTAAAACTAAAAATTATGAGGATGCACTATCTTGGGAACTGTAATTGCTGAATAACGGAAACACAAAAACTGTATACACCTTCATATGAAGAAGTTCAATGGAATACAACATTTGACGACATACCTTGACAAGCAAAAAATTGGCTGAAGCAATGGTGAGAATAAATATGATGCTACATGGCAAAAGAAATTCAAAATGTCAGAAAGGAGAACCAATATTTCCACAGCATGTAGCATAGGTATCAATATTGCCATAAATAAGGAACATACCAAGCTCCGTGTAGATATGACAAGTATGCCAAAGAAATTAGGAGCCAAACATATGCCATGCCTTTCGCCCTTAAACAACAGTAGGTTCTCAATACATTAGCTACAAGTGTAAAAATTCCAAAAACTACAGTAAGAATTTGTAGATTCCCTCGAAAGTTCCTCCACTGGGCATCAGAGGCATCCTGAAGAGGAAAAAGAGCAAAGGTGAAGCCTACACCAGGCAAAGAAACTTTTAATTTAACTGTTGAAGTGTATTAACAGGGAGGCAATGGAATAAGCACAGAAATAAAACATATGAAATAGATTTCTAGAAAATTTTCCTACCTGCAGAAGAATAATGATTTACTGACAACAACTTCAAAAGTCAAATTATGATAACTTGAACTCTACATTGCAACCTTACAACTCCTCATTCACCAAACTTGAATCATCTAGGTCATCATCCAAGTCCATTTCACTTTCAAGCTCTAATTTAAGCTCAACAGGGGAAAAAAAGTGAGATTGATATTTTGTCACAACTCAACACCAAAACCTCAGGACTCGAGCATGACTTAGATAATTTAAATATAAGTCCTTGAGAACAACATTTGTTTACACAATTAATTCAATTACTCAACGCTCAATACTAAAATTTGAGTTCAAGCTTTGCTTAGGGCCCCAACAAAACATTCAAAGAGATCGTTTTCATGCTGCAGCACAAACAAACGCATATAATAATCAGCCAGAGCTAGAAACCATGCTTAATGAGATCAAAATAGTCAAGATAAGCTTAATGCTTGGATCAGCTCAGTACTAAGCGAACAACACAGACATATTTAAACAAAAAGAAACAAAAAAGGAAAACCTAGCTGATCATAGTTCATGCAAAATGCTTTTGAATGCCACCACAGAAAACTCAAAAAGCACAAAAATAGTAAGCTGTTGCGCTACAAAAGGTTTACTCCAACCCACAAAAATCAAAAACTAAAAATTGCATACATTTAGGCGATTAGCGATCCAGCCAGGACGTAAACCATAAAGCTTGGTATAGTAATCTGCAATTACAAATCAACCATATCAGTAAAAGAAAAATGTGTAAATAGCGCAGGCGATGAATTAATGTAATTTTGCAAATAAGCTCGACATAAATAGAGAAATGGGGGAGGGCGGAGAGTACAGCACCATGGGAGAGTTGGAGAGAGCGACGGATGACAAAAGCGTAGAAGGCAACGGCATAAACAATCAGAAATGCAAGCTCTCTTCGCCGCCAATTGCTCTCCGTCATCGTATTTTTATTGGATCGGAATTAATTCCAGCGCCGGAAAAATTCTAAGATCCCCTCGGAAGAATCTCAAACGCCGGAGATTGTTTTTTGTTCAAGCTGTTTTCAAACGTCAAAACTCTGCAAATTGCTGCAACGACGACGTTCTTAGTTCTTTACAATGTTCAAAGTTCAGGTGTTGGAATAAGTGTGGGATAATTTCATAAACCTCCCTTGAGGTTTAGCATAATATAACTCGTCTCCTTTGAGGTTTTCAAAATCTCATTTACCTCCCTTAAGTTAACATATCTTATAACATTTTAGTAACTTATTTGGAGGAAATGCAAGAAAGATAAAACTTTTATATTATCCATGTATTTTGTTGTCTCACCATAATCTCGACATCGGAAAATATGGATCATTATTAGATATTAATTTATTTTTTTAATCTACATATTTTAGTTTCAATTTTTATTTTATTTTATCTTTTTGGTTAAATAGTTATTGACAGCAAGGGTAATGTTATTAATTTGTTATATTTGATAGGAATATTTAGTCTTGTCAAGTTGATAAGAATAATAAGTAAAATTTTAAAAATTTTAGAAATGCTGAATGATATATTGTAGAAATCAAAGGGAAGGTTTCTGAAATTATCCTAAGGGCAGCTCCAATGGGGGTGTAATGGCACCCCTCCATGACACGGCTCCAATGGGGAGCCGTGTCATGGATATTACACGCATCACACAGGTGATGCGTGTAATCCATTGAATTTTCTTCCAATGGCAACGGTAAAATTTCAGCGAGGATTTCCAACGGCAACATTATTTCCTATGGCAACGGTAACATTTCCAACGGCACTATTTTTTTAGAATTCTATATAAACACACAACACTTTTTACTAAAATATATCCCAATATTCTACTCTATTATTTCTTTTATTCTCTCACACACTTCTACTCTCTCACTCATTTAATTCATTTTTTGTGATTATGGATGAAAATTGGAGTAGTTTTACAAATATGTTAAATGCTCCAAATATAGAAAATTCATCATTCTCACAAAATCAAAACCCCCAAAATTTTCCAAATTACCCATTTTCTGGTATTCCTACAAATGTGCAAAATTATGCATTTCCCCCAAATTTATCCACTTCCAATCATCCATCAAATTTTCAAAATCTGCCAAATTTTTCAATATTACCTTCAAAGGAATGCGGAATTACGTGATCGAGAAGTACATCATCAACTTCGATCAGACTTGGTCGAGCATATTTGGGAACGATTCGAAGGCAATGACAATGAAAACTAGTATTCATTTTGTTATTATTTGTATTTTATTTGATTTAACTTATGTAATATTATGTTATGGAGTTCAACTAATTACATTCCGAATTATTAATTAAGTATGGATTATTATGATATCTTCGCATTTGAAGTATCAAATATTTGTTTAATTTCCTACATAATTATTTTTAAAAAAATAACAATATATTATTTTTGAAACATAGAAAAAGATATATTATTCAAACTTAAAAATTAATAATATCATTTTTAGAAAATAAAAAAATTCAAAATGTACAAAATTTAACGAAAGTTAGTACTTTATTTTTTAAAAATAACAAAATTAGTTTTAAAAATTACTTTATTTATTTATGGGATATGAGTTATGCATTATTAAAATAAATATTTGATTAATTGTGGACCCATGCTATTACACCTTGTGGAGTGTAATCCATTGTGAGTGAAAGTGTAATAAAAGAGGAGAAAGTGGAATGCTGACGTGGCATGTGGATTACACTCCACAAAGAGTTTGTTTGGATAGAGAGAATTTGGATGATTTATTTGAGATATTTACTGTAGCACTTTTTGTGATGTGATGTGTGTGAGATAAAAAGGTGGTTGGGAAGATAAAAAGGTGATTGGGATTTGTGAGACAAATTTTTTTTTTCCAAATTCTCTCTATCCAAACAAACTCAAAGTGTAATAGCATTGTGGATGCTCTAATAAGTACTTATTTAAGTCCAAATATATACGATGTCGTTTTCTCCTTTAAATATTAAATTAATATTTAATAACGAATTAGGAGATTTGGCGCGTAGAAGTTGGCTTTCAAAGTAAGCTACCGGGTAGCGTTGTCCAAACCGCTTAGCCTGAATTTAAAGCTAACCTATACTGCAGAACTCTTCACCATCTATATATAGGGAAGAGAAGAAGAATCCGGTGGAAGGGACCCATTTCATCACCAGATTCTTGTCAACGTCTCTACCCTTTTTCCTACAACACAAAAGAAGAAATGAATATCCCACCAGTTTCTTGAATCCCTCAAGTATCTCTCTCTCTCTCTTTTTTATCACGTTGTTTGATCAACTTTCTTGTCAAGAGCCTTTTCATACGAGAATCAAACAAGATGTTCAATTCTTCTCCAACAACATATTGTAAGTTCTCTCTCCCTCTTTTTAAATTCTTGTTGTGTTTCTGTTCTTCTATCGTGTAATTGTAAGTTAAAAAGGGATGTATAAATTTTTTTGTACTTTCTTGCATTCGGCGTTGTTTACCCAAGAATCTGCCAAGTATCTTCTTCTTTTTTTACTTGTTCTGATTCCGTCTTCGTTGTTCTTCAATGCCTTTACAACAAAGACTAATTACTTGGTGGTTTTTCGTTTCCTTTTCTTTTCTTTTTTTTTTCTCTTGAATGAATTCCGGAGGATTGAAAAATCCCTGCTTTACTTACTTCACTCCTATCTTGACTAATTACTTGGTTTGTTTTTCTCTAATCAACAGCATTCGGATTCGGCCAATCGGCAAGTGCTGCCAGCCCTTTTGGGTGTCAATCAGGTTTTGGGGCAAACACGGACTTAAGCAATTCGAACCCTTTTGCGCCAAGTGGTGCAACTCCTTTCGCTGCATCAACAGGGGCAACCATGTTTGCTGGAAATTCGACGACAGGGGCAGGTGCATTCAGCCAGCCTGCTATTAGCAGCACCCCATTTGGGTCTGCTTCAGTATTTGGGCAAACCACAGGATCATATGCTACTGCAACTGCTTGTGTTAGCGCATCAACAGGGCTAGCTACGCCGTCCGCAAATTCAGCAGGTATTTTTAGTTTTAATTGCAGCAGGAAAGAAAAGAAAATAAAAATCTGCTTTGTTTTTACATCTTATTATTCTTGCTAATGCGATTTCTGTTCCTTTAGTTTATCGCTTAAAGAAAGATTAATTATTTGTTTTGTGTGTTTCTGTTCCTCTGAAGAACAGGATTCGGCCAGTGGACCAACAGCAGCACTTATGGGTCTCAATCAGTATTTAGGCAGGGTAGCAACTCAAGCAACAATAACTTTTTTGGCACTGCTGCAACCCCTTTTGCTACATCAACAGGGGGAAGCATGTTTTCTGGGAATTCAACCGGTGCATTTGGAGCATCATCCTTTGCTTTTGGAAGTTCAGCATCATCCACAACTGCTCCTTTCTCAACCACCTTTGAAACTTCAGCCTTGCCTTCTACAGGTCAGTATTTTTGTAAGAATACATGTTCTATTACTGAATTTTCATTGTTAATTGAATATGAACTAGTGGACTGTTTTATGTTTGAATGGTCACTGTTAATTATACTACGGACTTACATGCTCTGGCAAATAATCCTTCAATTCATATGCTATTTTGGTTGATGGATTTAGTCTTCCAATCATTCCCCCCTTAAATATCAAAATTGCCTCAGCTGTACAAAAAATTTGCACTTGGAATTTGTATTGTTGTATGCTTTCTTTTCTGTTTTTCATTGTCTTAAAAAAGTAACTACCCGTTCTTCTAGCTTAATGCTGCTGATTATGACTTTTGCTTTGCATGTTTACTTATTCAATGAAAAATGAAGTAAAAATATCTCTAATTGGATTTTGCTAATGACAGTTTTTAGCCAGGCGCCTAGCAGTGCACCTGTAGTATCTCAATCAGCATTTGGGGAAGTCAACAAGTTTGACGTTAACAATTCTTTTTCCTCCAAACCAGTCACAGCAACTCCTTTTGGTAGCATCAGTGGAGGAGCAATATTTGGTGGAAATTCAACATCCAAATCACCATTTGGAGTAACTTCATCGCCTTCAACATCCAAATCACCATTTGGTGAACCATTACCATTTTCTTTTGGAATCTTGTCAACTACAACACGTACCGTTCCATCTGAGGCTCTGGAATATCTTCCCAGCATTTGAAATATTTTTGTGTTTATATCCAAAAATGAACATGAATTCAAAGTTCTGTCAGCCCACATTGATTTCTGGTTCAGAGGGTCATACCTTCTAGATAGAGTTACATGATGTATTTCATCCACACTCCAGAGTTAATATAATGTATTTTAAGAATTTGTTGATAGGTCCAGCAAATGGCAAGAGTCCCTGAACTTTTCAAAATTCGGTTTTTCACTCTTTAGGTATTTTGAAACTTTAACTAGAAAAGTTACAAAAGCAAAACTATTTTATGATATTGTAAGGCACAAGGATCTCAATTTGTCATATTGAAACTTCAAAACTGTTTTATTTCTCTCATCCATTTTAACTCGAGTGAACTGTTCTCAGGCAGCTGGGAGAGAAAACAAACTACAATCGACAAAAGAGAGTTACTTTTTTTTTTTGGTCAGCAACGATACATTTGTATAATCTACTCTATCCTAATCTAGGGGGGAGGGGGAACCTAAGGAGGCTGTTGTAGGGGCTAGTGGATATACAGATCCAACTAGACCAAGGGAGTGCTATGGCACAACCCTTAGATTTTTTTTGCTGCAGGTGAGATTCGAACCCTCACCTACAGCCCAAGGAGGGACCAGTGGTACGACAAAAGAAAGTTACTTCCCTAGCATAAAGCCAAAAGGTAGAAGAAGAACTTTGTCCTGCCATAGAAAACAAGATCCACTTGGCAAAAGAATGTTTCTTCCATCACGTAAAGCCAAAGAGTGGAATAAGTGTTCCAATATATACATTTGTTTGCTGCCAATTGGCCCAGATAGCTTTTAAAATTTCGTTTCGACTCACACAGTTTTCAAATGAAATGATTTTTCCATGGGGGAAAGTTAGGTTTCTTATTCAGCTGACCTTGGCATAAATGATGCAAAACTTTAGCTTCATGTTTAGGATTATTTGATTCTTGTCTTTTTGTTTTTTTAATTGGAGCTTCTAGCTTAATGTACTTAAAATGAAAGTATGTGTCACACTAATCATCAAACTCGTTCTCTTTTCATTGTTTGTTAACTATTTGTTGATTGCTTGCCATTTTCAGGAGCACCTATCTTCAACAACACTGGAAGTTTGATTCAACCTTCTCAATCTAAATCAACTAACCATGCCTTTTATTCATCAAGTCAATCTGTTTTTGGGAGCAGCGGTGTGCTGGCATCTGGCACAAGTACTTCGGTTTATTCTGGCTTTCAACATGGTGGCTCTTGCTCAAGGCCACCATTTAGCTCTACTGGCCTTGCTTTTAGTTCAAATGGTGCACCTAACAACTTTAACTCTGTATCTCGGGGCGCAATTGGATCTTCCACCACTCCCATAACTGGAGCCCCTAGCAACTTTAACACTGTAGCTTCAAACAACCCTGAACTGCAGAATTCAAGGTTCACATTTTGCCAGCCAAATTCGCAATTTAGTGAGCCAAATTTACAATTTGGTAGTAACAATGGACCTACTGCTTGGGAAACAAAAAAGTTCTATTCAGGTTAGTTCTATTTCTGTTTTTCCTATTAGTTAAAAATTAAAACATAAAATAACAACTTTCAGTAAGATATAGCACAGATACTTCAACACATTGGATATGATCCATTCTAGAATAAATAATAAGTTTCAGCTTTAACTTTTTCTACCATGCAGCATATCAACCGGCAAGTACAAGCATGAAATCTGGACAATCAGTTATGGATTGCCAACGTTATGGTAGTAAAATAGCATCTTCTGTTGCAACTAAGGAAGTGGATATAGGTAGTACTGAACCTGCTGGAAAATTGTTCTCCATCTCTGCCATGCCCTTTTACAAAGACAAGAGCCATGAAGAGCTGAGGTTCGAGGACTCTAATCAATTGTTAAGGAGTAAAGGTAAGTATAAGGTTATATAGTTGTTTTTGTCTGATGATCTCTACTTTTGTTCCCGATAAAGACTTTATGAACATTCCTGCAGCTGCATTTGTTCCACAACATCTATTACAACATGTTTAGCATCAGCTTTGCCTGCCTCTAATTCTGTTACATCTTCAGATGCAGCTTCTGGATTCATCTTTCAGTCTAATCAACCCTCAGCTGGCAAGACAAACGCTTTTTTAGGGCCTACTGCTGTCACTCCGCATAGTCAACTAAAAACATCAAGTGCAATATCAATTGGATCAGGACCTTGGACAGGCAATTCAACTGGTTTTTCTTATATTGGTGACCAATGTCGTGGAAGTAAAATAGCATCTTATGTTGCAACTAGGGAAGTGGATATAGATAGTAAAGAACCTCCTGGAAAATTGTTTTCCATCTCTGCCATGCCCATTTACAAAGTCAAGAGCCATGAAGAGCTGAGGTTCAAGGACTCTCATCAATTCATAGGGAGTAAAGGTAAGTATAAGTTCGTACAGTTGTTGCATTGGTCTGATGATCTCTACTTTTGTTCCCAATAAAGACATTATCATCTGTCCTACAGATGGACTGCTTTCTCAGCATCTATTACAACATCTTTAGCATCAGCTTTGCCTGCCGCTAATTTTTTTTACATCTTCAGATGCAGCTTCTGGATTCATCTTTCAGTCTAATCAACCCTCAGCTGGCAAGACAAATGCTTTTTCTGGACCTACTGTTGTCAGTCTCGATAGTCAACCAGAATCATTAAGTGCAATATCAACTGGGACAGGACTTTTGACGAGCAATTCAAGTGATTTCATTTGGCCAAATGTAAATTACTATCAACTGGCTTGAAAATATCCCATGTGTTCCTATTTTCATTTTATTTTCCCAAAAATCGTACCCATAGTTTTCTCTTTGTTTATGGTTGGTGATTTTGTTCTACTGCTACTCTGTGAGTGGTTAGCACAAGTCTGACTTGAGTTGGTTCTGCTCTTAGGAGTTCAAGAGATGCCTTGCCCTGATATGGATTTAGAGGTCCAAGATTTGTCTCATTTGTCCTTATTGGAATATCTGGAAAGAAAGAAAAGTAATAGTTTGTTAAGATGTTGAATTTTGAGTGATTAAGTTCAAGAGCTTCGGATAAGTTACAAAATGTGAATAAGAAAAAATTAACTCGTTTACTTGGTCTTTGGATACCCATCAATTTATCTTTGTTGCTGTTGCTTTATATGTCACTAAAGTTTAGTTTGAAATGCTAATTAAGCCTCTTTTTCATAATGATATACTGAAAGTGGAAAAGAGATACAAGGGAGAACAGACGTAAACTATGTATTTTTCATCAAGTTTGTGCTCCTAACTATGTGCTATGTTTGCAGCATGAACCAATTACAACTCCACAGATAACTCAAATTGTTGTAGCAACAGATGGCGCTTCCACTAGCATCTCACAACAGTCAATTTCCAGTAAGAGCAATGTTACATCTAAAATAAATTGTTCTCTGTCATCAGAGACAAATTTTCCTTTGTTCCATGTGACTGATAATTACTCTTTTCTGTGCTACTCAATAAGCTATGGATGCAGGAACTTGTCGTCAGAGTGGTGGCATGCAGCAGTACGTATTACTGAACTATTTTCATGCTTCTATTAGATCGTTTTCCACAATAGTCTGCTAAAACTCCAGCAAGTTCAGTAAGTTGATCACTTATTACTTTGCTTGTGATTTTTCTCGTCAAAACAAGAAAACAGAGAACCATTTCTTTTGTTCACCAAAGCATTTTATGTTAAGATAATCATCACAGGAACCATTCTGGTTTAATTTGTTCTATGTTTTCTTTCAACTGGCACACTGGACTTAATAAACTGATAAGCACACTTTGGAGAGCAATAAAGTATTTAATCTCAGTTAGACTTAATTATGAACTAATAAATTTTTTTTAAAGTCACTTGCAGCCATTCTTTTATCCATTGATTTCCTATCCTTTAACTTGTTCTTAGAAATAGTGAATGCTGATATTATACTTCCACTCACGTGCATTAAATATTGATTTTCCACTGTATAAATCGGCTGACGTATACGGTATGATTTCAGGTCTGAGTCTCAGAGCACCATCGCTCTAGACCCATCTGTTGTTGCAAGTCCTTTTGGAATGGAGTCTAGAATACAGATGTCAATGGGTGGTAGAGCAGCTACCACAACTGTTCAATATGGAATTTCTTGCATACCGGTTAGTCTTATTTCTGACACCAGTATGTGTACCTAACAGGGAAAATTAATCTTCAAAACTGCCCATGAATCTAATTATTTCACATATTTCTTCTCCTACAAGCTTATAGAAATATGATAAAAAAGAAGTCAATCTGGAAGGACGTTTATTTTGCTTCATGTAACTTCTTTTTCTTTGTGCAATACAGGTATCTGACAAACCTGCTCCAGTGAAAAGAAATTCATTGTTGACCACTAGATGTTTGTCTCTAAGCCAAAACTGGCCATCAGTTGAGAAGTACCGGCCTAAAAATGACAGCCAGAAGGTGAGATTCATGATACTGGACGAGCGTGTACAAATCAATATGGGCAAGCTAGACAATTACATGGTAAAGATTAGAATACATATTAGAGCTCTTTAAATTCTAAATTTTGCTCTATGCATCACAGGTTCCATTTTATGAAGAAAAAGTACCTGGGATATACAAAGTTGGCGCTTCCTTTATTCCAAGGGAAAATGCAAGATCTTGGGTTCTAAACTCCATGGTGGAGCGGCCTCTAAAAACAAATTCACGGAATTCCTCTTTACTGGAGGAGTCCGTATCTGCATCTGAGAGTGGTATGCATAAAATTTTCATTTTGTTCATTTGAAATGTGGTACATCATACTAATTTGCATATCTGGGCTGGAAAAGAAGCTGTTAAATTATGGCCATCATGTTTGATTAATTAAAAATTAGTAACTAGTGATTTCTTCCCTTTGTTCTTTGGTTAGAGGAGAACCGTATGCCTCTCTTGTTGTTTGGGAAGGATGAATATACCGGTCCTGCATGCATCTACTTAGGTTTGATGTATATTCCACTTCTTAACTTCCTACTTTTTGATTATGTAGGAAATTTTGAGGCTGATGTTGAAGCAATACTGCCAAAACTCCAATGCCCAGATTATTATATAAAGCCTCCGGTCGAGGAGCTAGCTGCAAAAGAAAGGGCTGAACCAGGATTCTGTCGCCGCGTGAAGGAATTTGTGGTTGGAAGAGAGGGTTATGGAAGCATCAGGTTTTTAGGGGAAACAGATGTGAGAAATCTTGACGTTGAATCTGTTATCCAGCTTAACCATCGAGAGGTGATTGTATACAGGGACACGACCAAGAAACCTCAAGTTGGACAAGGCCTCAACAAGCCTGCAGAGGTATCTCTTCTCAATGTCAAATGCATCAACAAACGTACTGGGAAGCAATACGTGGAAGGAACAAGGGTTGATAAGTGGACAGATATGCTGAAAACGAAGGCAGAAGAGCAAGGTGCTGAGTTTCTATCTTATAATCCAGTAACTGGTGAGTGGAAATTCAGGGTCCAACACTTCTAAGGTCAAAAGATGGTGACCAGCAGCTGATCACAAAACGGGGAGTCAGAGACGAGTCAGAGACGTTTGAGCCCATAGTATAGGACGTAATGCCTTGAATAGCTTGGCATTTACCATTTTCTGTAAATCCTTTTCTGTTTTTCCCATCTTTGGTAACATGATATCTGCTGATATATTATTGCTGGTCTTCAATTCGTTATAACTTGACTGATGAGTTTGTTCTTCGTCGAAGCTTAGCACCAGACTGGTTTGTAGTTTTTATGGGCTGCGGATATTGTAAAAAACAGTTGGGTGCCAATCAAAATTTCACTTACAATTTGTATAACACCTCATGAATGGAGAAGAAAATAAATATCTAAATGCTCATTTTAATCACCTGATCCCAACATCTGCTGACTCATTTAATCTCACAACTTAAAATGGGCTAGGAGATTCTTCTTCCTGAAAATATGAATGTTTTTATCTTTGAGAGAACACATTCGTACCTTGCTTTTGAATAGAGACCATGTATTGGGTAGGAAGTCCTAATTAAGTCGTGGCTTTTTGCAATCAATGTACCATTTGGTTTGCAGCCAATGATTCGTTTGCAGTCAATAAAACGCATATATAAAACTATACGAATATTCTTATAATATATAAGATTGAGTTTTGGTCAAAGAGTAGGTTGGATTTCAACCGCATAGGTAGGGGCTTTCTGAAAATGTAAAATATTGTGTATTAGTTTAAAAACTTTAGGTACAAGTTAAGAAAGCATGTATTTGGGTATGTTTACTGAAATGACCCAATTTTAATACATTTAAAGTTGTCATTGATGAGTCATCTGGGTATTGATGGAATGTGTAATTAGTGTGCAACCGTTTTTGCATTATGTACAACCCATATATGCTTGTGTGTTGGTGTAATTACCGGAATATTCCTTAACTACCAATAATTCCGCTTTTCAACCGCAAATAACCATTTGAGATGTTGCTTTGTCTAAAACATTTGAATGGCAATCGGATTTAGGAAATGAACCAATGATTTCTCTATCAATGGCAAAAACTCATTTCTCTATCATTTATAATCTGCATTTATGAGTCACAAACGTTGGTCATTTTATCCCCTTTCAGTTTCAAGAGTTAAGTTTTTCCTTTTTGCCTTTGTCTACAACGATTTGCCTCATCGTTTTCTCTTCCATCCAAGCTCAACTCTGAAATTACCTATTATTTCGTCATTAATTACATCCAATTCAATTGCCGAACCGTTGGTATCTTAATGTCTAAACGGTTGATTATCAGTTTCTCCCTGTTCGCATTTTAGGATTGAGATAATTCTATCTGGCTTCATACTAATCAGCTCATAATGCTCTTCAGTCCCAACTACTCTTGGTGGTTCAACGTGAGGTTAGATTTCACCGCCCCCAATTTTTCAGTTTCTCCCTTAATTTTATCGGTGTGTTTTTAGTACCTACAATTAGCGACTCTTATCGCGTTGCCTAACCGCAAGATAGCATTTTTCGCGTAATCTAACCCCAATTGGTTTGGGTTGGTTATAATCTTATAGGTTTGGAGCAACAACAAGAAAGAGTTCTCGGTGGGGATTCTGGAATAAGGTTAGCTTTCTGTGTTATCAACGACCTTCAATTTGACACAGTTTTATTGTAATGCTGTGTGAATTGATTGATTATATCGTTTATCTTTTCATATTCAGTTTTATTTATTCTCACAATGTACTATCATTTGTTCAACAAAAAAACCTCCTTCCCCACAGGTACCAAACACCCGCGCGATGCCCGGGCACTCCTCCCTCGTATATATATATATATATAAAAAATTACATCTATTCTACTTCTAGATTATAATCTATAAACGTAGTCCATTTGAACTATGTAAAAGGTCTGAATATTAGACCTTCCAAGCCAAATAAGCGCATTATTGGATCCGTGATCTTTTTTTTTTCAGAGAAGCCAAGCATTTAATTGCTCGTCTAGTATTTATATAAAACTGACTCGTTTGAAGCTTAAAGGATGGTGTATATTATTTCTTGTGAATGTGTGTGTGGCGCGTTGTAGCTGGTTAGGTAGGTACTTTTTCTTCTCATCGTCAAAGAATAATGCTTAATGAAGTCGGGATGATAATATGATGGGGATGAAGCACGACTTCCAAGGATTGTAAAAGAGCACTAAGCAGCGCATGGCACGCGTCAGAATCATACCATCATGTATAATTATAGACGGCAAACCGTCAAGACAAGTGGGATTAAGAGAAATTCGCCTCACATTGGTCACTCACATATTTTTTTTTCAATTCAATATTGTTGTTCTGTTTCTTGTGAATGTTGAACGTTAGCCCATCAGCCCGTGGTATATTATTACGGAGTATTTGCCTAACACAGTAACACCCATCAGGTAGCATCTTCGTAGTTGCCTAACCATTTTCTGTAAATCCTGTTCTATTTTTGTAACATAAATGGCATGATATCTGCTTATATATTGTTGGTCTTCAATTCGTTATAACTTGATTGATGAGTTTGTTCTTCGTCGAAGCTAAAGCACCAGACTGGTTTGTAGTTTTCATGGGTTGCGGACATTGTAAAAACAGTTGGTTGCCAATCAAAATTTCACTTACAATTTGTATAACACCTAATGAATGGAGAAGAAAATAAATATCTAAATGCTCATTTTGATTTTGAAAGATTAACTGGCAAGCAATACTGGGATTCGAGTAAAATGGTTCAACAATTAAAAGAAGTAATAACTAAGGAATTCAAGTTGCTAATTTTTTTGGGTAGGGTTCAGTTGAGTTGGGTGGTAAGGTTTAAAAGTAAAACTCTTGAGTTAAGTCCTTCTCACTTACCATATATATGTATATCTTACATATATAAAGCGAGAATCCGCTTGTGAACAGTGAAAAATGGGCCGGTTATGCCGTTATTTGTGTGAGCTTGAGGGGCGTTTTGGTCTTTTGCTGATGGGTGGCAGTGGCTCTGCTGGTATTTTGCTTTTGTCCGCTGGCTCTCTTGCATTGTAACCTTGCTCTGTCCGCGTGGCTCTTCATTTTGGTAGTCAGCAATGCTCTGTCCGCGTGGCTCTTCATTTTGGTAGTCAGCAATTACTATTAAGTTAGTGGGCGGTTGGGCGGCAAAAGCTTTCTAGAGTCTTCATTCTTTGCTTTATGTATATTTCACCTCACACGCATGTTTGGTTTCCTAAGCTCTTGTGTAATTGCAGTTGCTTTGCCTCCGATGGTGAGTAGGCAGTGGACGGTGTCTCCAGTGATCTCTGGTTTTGCAAAGTTTTCTAGAGTCTTCACTCGTTGCTTTATGTATATTTCGCCTCACACGTATGTTTGGTTTCCTAATCTCTTGTGTAATTGCAGTTGCTTTGCCTCCACTGGTGAGTAGGCAGTGGACGGTGTCCCCAGTGATCTTTGGTTTTGCAAGGTGAAATCTTCATTGTCTCACTTAGCTGATTTTCTGAGCAAGCTGATCTTCTAAAGTCTCCACTCTTTGCTTTATTTGCGCCTTTTGATGGTTTGCTGTAGATTAATGTTTTGACAATGGGTCGGAATAGAGTCTTGAGTGGTGTTTTGGTCGTCTGGCATTGGATGGTTGTGGTTTTGGTGGAAATTCACTGCTGTCCGCATGCTATTATTGGATAGGAGCAATTTTGGCGGGTGGGCAATTTCGGCTTTGTTTCCTCTCTTCTTTTCTTGGCTTTCTTTACCAGGTGTCCAAGCAATTTTGGCTTTCTTCAACATTCCCCACGTGCTGTTCTCGGACGGCAACAAGTTTAGCAGTGATTTGAGGTACAATGGAACCACCACCGCTTGAAAGCTCTGCAATCTCCATTGCCCTTTCTCGTTCTTCTCTTGGCCTTCTCTGCCAGTTTTTTTCACTCATCATCTTCCTATTTAATTTTTCCCTACACCACGTCTTTCTCCATGATCTTATCTAGAAATCTACAGTAGATTCCCTCTCAATTTTTCCTACACGCACAACAAAAATGTAATCACCTTTTCCAATTAATCCCATCTCCGTAATTCCATTTTTGAATTGTTTTGCCTCTCTTTCTTCTTATTTTTTTACTTTTAAGTGTTCTAGGTTTTATCATTGCATGGGATTTCAATTTTCATGTGAATGGTTGGATTTTTTCTTGAGTTGGGGTTGACTAAATATGTCATTACAGGAAGTGGAGAAGTGGGCGACGAAGGAGGAGAGCTCCTTCCATTGGCATTAGAGGGAGATTTATAGTTGCATAGGACATTGGAAACCACAAGGCTCCGATTGGAGTTCAAAGATAAATAGGCATATTGAGCCAGTCCCAAAAATCAGAGGGTAAAAGATAAAAATAAACTTCTCTACTCTAATTCTCACTTTTTTTAATGCATTTTGCAGAGTTCCCACGAATCTTCCGTAACTTTCAAATTTAATTTTCCTAACCCAGAAAAACTACTCGGGATGTAATTTGAGAACTAATCTTTCTGAAGTGGCGTTGGACGCTGAAGAGTGCTGCTGGAGGGGAATAAACAACATGGTCGAGATTCGAAAGAACCGTAAAGAAGAAAGCTTGCGGAAGAAGCTCCGCGAAGGCCTGCATAATGCATTTGCTGTTCAATCGGATACCTCTTCTGTCGACAAAAATGTCTAAATAAATTAGAATTTATATTTTGTTCCTTTGAAGTTGTTGCTGCAGATGGCTTTAAGTAGGGTTGTGATCAAATTTAAATTTGCGATTGTGTTGTTTTTGGGCAGGATTTTCACAATTTTTTTTTACAGTTTCCTTGTGTTTGAATAGAGCTAGGGCTTGCACTTCAGCGCTTTTCTTGAAGTATGTCAAAAAAAAAAAAAACACACATACACACACAAAAGTAATAAAAAATATACCACAGCAGAAAAAAAAAAAAAAAAAAACAGTCCAGGCTATCTGACGCATAGCGTCAGGGCAGAAAAAACTAGTATATATAAAGGAGTTCAAGTTGCTTAAACAGGATAATATAAAGGATATGTTTCCAACTATTACTGGATATCACATTTTTTTCCACCCTTCTAATGTTGCAATTGCATTATGAACTCCTTGCGTGATTTGTCTTTCTTCTTCATCTTTTTTTCTAGCAGGAAAATGGTGGAATTTAGGAAGCGAAGAAGTGACGAGGGGAATTTAAACTCAAGAGACTTTTAAATTTTAGAGGCTTAATATTAACTATTAGACTAAAACTTCCTTGACTACACAAT